CGGTGGATCTATGAGTTTCATATTGGTATTATTTATTTTATTTACAAAAGAGAGAGGTGTTCTTCGGTGGATTCTGGAAAACTTAGGCTTGAAGCTTTTGTGGATTCCGGAGTGGCTTATCGTCGTGGATTCGACATCAGCGTTGTAGATTCAACGTTGGGCAAGACAATTTCAAGGTGAAGACTGCGGTGAAAGAGACACATTGGGGTCGGTTCAATTCAGACGTGTATTCGCTAGGTAATTGAGGATACACGTGTAATTTCTTTTTGTCTTTTTAGTGGATTGTTTTGTGATTTTGGCCCGTGGTTTTTTCAGATTAAATCATTGTGTCGATTTGTTATTGATTGTTTGATTGGGATTAGTATTCACTATTTAAAATTGAAACATAATCACGAATCAATATCTTGAGTTATTTAAATTATTTAAGTCTTCAAAATTATCCAACCTCTTTTTTCTCTTGAAAGAGGGGTGTTTATATAGGCCTAGAGGTTGCTTGATACGCAATTCGCTCGAGAATTGTGGAGGTGGCACCTCCACATGCATGGGGGGGGGGGACCATCTTCTAAAAACTGCTTTGTTTCTCGACAAATTTGTTTGGCCAGCCAAAAATTGTCTGGCCAGCCCTTTTATGGCCGACTAGCCAAAATATGGCCGGTCAAACATAAAAGTTGTACGACCAATCAATTTTGTATGGCTAGGGCAATTTTGAAGGGAAAACAAGCTTTTTTCAGAGGATTCTCTTCAAGGCAATTCATTCCCACTTTGTCTTCGCTTGGTATTGAAATCACAATGTTTTTGTTTGAAAAGTGAGCTTTGAACATCATGGAAATGATTGGACTTATACACGGCCAAAAAAAAATTGAAAAATGGTTTTAATGGTCTAAAAGCAGTTGGCCAAACAGGTATAAGGTTGGTATAGAGCTTTAAAATTGAGCTCTTTGGTGGAGAAATTGAAGGATTACGCAGGTCGGGATTTTCATCGAGTGCCAAGAGTAAAGCGCCCATGTCTTAGGGCTAGTCAAAATGAGGTGTCTAAACTACCATTGGTAGGAGAGAGAAAAAGTTGTACCGTCTCGATTAAAGCAACAAGTTGCCTTCTCATCTCGACAATTTCATCTCTTTGATATGAATCCCCATTATTCCTTCCAATCGGAGGATTTTCCTCGGCATCATCACCCAAATTTGGGGCATAAGCCCTACCACGGCCACCTTTACAACCTCTACCTCGTTGATATACACAAACAATTTAATGTGCTGAGGCACAACAAAGCAATGAACACTATTCAACAAACCTAACTAATCAACCAATTTCAGTCACAGAAATAGAGACAAAAACATAGTGGAAAAGCTAATCATCGAAAAACAGAGATTCAATTTTAATCAACGAAATCCAACCCACACAATCCTAATTCCCAAATCAAGACCCAATATCAATTTGCAAATTTAAGGATCCAGAATCAAGAGAATGTTGCAATCAAAGATACAAACTCATAATAGTTGTAATCGAAGAATATAATAGAATCGATTGCAACAATTGACACAACGATTTAATATGGAAAAACCACGGGCTGTTAATCAAAAGTCAATTACCCAAGAAATTGATATCTGTTAGTCGAATCAAGAACAAACTTCGAATAAGCAAAAATGGTGGTCTGGATCACGCTTTCATTACGAAAGTCAGGGTCAATAGTGTAGATTGCAAAATTGAATCCAAGGTTCGATTGTAATTCTCAGAATCATGCATTGCAATGTTGGGTAGTTCGATCGATGTGATGTTCCGAGTGTTGGACCCGACTCAATTATGCCTTTTGGACTATTTGTTTTGGTTCCAGTGTTCGAAGCTTAGTGTGACCTATAGGTGTTTGGGATTCGAACATGTTTAATCTTCTTGCCATTCTTCCTAGTCAGAATTTTCGAGTTTCGGGCGTAAGGACGAAACACAGAGACGTGGAAACACCTCAGAAAGATTGGGACTCGAGTAGGTGGGGTTGCACATGTGGATTCGTGTAGATAGCTTGGTATTTTTGGGTAGGGGCCTGTACGTGCGACGAGTGTACCCATACCTCCAAAGGGAGGCTCTACATGTGCGGCAATTTGTCTTGCACATGAGGCAAGGTGGAGCAGCAAGTGTTTCTTCTCTGGGAGGATCCACATGTGCAACAGAGGGCCACTGTACGTACTGAAAGGGTCACTGTACGTGCGGCCAGAAGCATTTTCAGCTCAATTTTTGTGCCCAAACTCATTAAACTGAGGCCCTCTCTCCTCTATTTTCTCATTTCTCTCATATTTCTCTCTCTAAAACTCTTGTTCTCTCTTTCTCTCATCACTCTACACAAACCCACCAACCCTCATATTTCTCTTTGATCTAACAAATCCATTGAGATTTTGATACTAGTTCTTAAGGCCAAAACGATGAGCCTGACAAGGGCTATATTTTGACTAGTGGAGATCAAATTCCGGCGAAGTTGTTTTTTGGGGCTTTTCTTCTATTCTCTTCTAAAGGTAGGGATTCTTTGCTTCTTTTCAATACCTTGCTATAGATAGATATGTGGTACCTTTATTGCATGAAAATTTTGATTTTTAGTAGAGATTTCAAAATGACATGTACACTTGAGTTAGGGATTTGGATTTTAAGAGTTAATATACTGTTTTTATTGTCGGTTATGAAATTTGGAGATAATAAAACATGTTCATGATGATTGAATATAAAAGCCCCAAATTTTTATGGAATATTTATGAAGCTAGAGAAGAGTTGATAATTACATAATTATTGGGACTATTATGCAATTAGAACATGATTGTGGTGATTTAAGTAAAAAAGCCGTAATTTTTTTTTATTGTAATGTTTATGAGATATGAAATAAACTGATAATTTTAATATTAATTGAGCCACATAGATTATTGTGAATCAAAGTGTGAAAAGGGAATGGAAAGAAAATGAAGGGATTGTCGTGAACTTAGAATGTGTTGAAATGGTTAGTGATTGGGACTAATGGAAATAATTATTGTTAATAAGAAATGATTATCACAAAATTGGCTTATGTCATAAATGTTGGTGATCGGAAATAGTGAAATCAATTGTGAAAATTATATGTATTAATTATGAGAATTGACGACATTTATTGTTTAGAGGTTTTGTCCTTGGCCATCGGTGGAGGATGGTATTATTTGTTGTAGAATTTATCTGAAATAGGTTGAAATGAAACCTCATGTGTTTATTGATTAACTACTCAATTTCGTAATTAGATGAGAATGAATGGAAGGAAATTGAGATGCATGTGTTGTGAAATGTGATTGTGCTATATAGAGGTAATGCGACCGTTCCAGCTAGCAATCGATAAAGCAGGCTATGCTATATAGAGGTAATGTATTCCTTCTAGCTAGCAACAGGTAAAGCAGGCAAACATGGGTCTGGGCGAGACCACGGTGGTGATGTGGGGCTTGGCAAGACTACAAGTTGTCAATTTTATTATGAGATTTTATTGCTAATGTGTATATCTATTATGATAATTGTTGATGAAAATATGTATTGAGAATATAGTTGAAGTTGTGTTATGAGGTAGACATTGAGTTTAGAATAATGTGAGCATTGTTTGATGTAAATGAGTGGCATGAGAGTACCAAGGATTAATTGTGGATTTGTTTGGAAATAAATAACGTGATGAAATCATTTGGATCATAAAAGATAAGTCGTAGAGATGCTGAAATGGTTAATGTATGTATGGTATTCGAGATGTGATTTAGGTTTGGAAATCTCTTTGAATTGAAAATGGTGAGTTACAAAGATCAGAAAATTGGTTTTCTTGAAATGATAAAGAAAGATTCTTTTGAGAAAAGACATACTTATGTATGTTTGCTTGGATATAAAATGTCACATTACATATATAATTATGACTTGTAGCATTCATGATCATGTCTATCCATGTATTGCTATTGTTTAGAATCAATGGGATTCCTATTGGACATTCATGTTCATCCCATGTTATTAACCATTTTTCAAGTATGAAGTTGAAGCACTGTTTCAAGAAAAAGATGTCTCATTAATTGTTGGCCATGGGCCTATTTCTTGTAGGTGGACTACCATTTTGTTGTATAGAGGGTTAATCCCTCTCATCTCATTTTCTTAATTTTACTTTCCTCCATTTTGTTGTATAGAGGGTTAATCCCTCTCATCTCATTTTCTTAATTTTACTTTCCTCCATTTTGTTGTATAGAGGGTTAATCCCTCTCATCTCATTTTCTTAATTTTACTTTCCTCCATTTTGTTGTATAGAGGGTTAATCCCTCTCATCTCATTTTCTTAATTTTACTTTCCTCCATTTTGTTGTATAGAGGGTTAATCCCTCTCATCTCATTTTCTTAATTTTACTTTCCTCCATTTTGTTGTATAGAGGGTTAATCCCTCTCATCTCATTTTCTTAATTTTACTTTCCTCCATTTTGTTGTATAGAGGGTTAATCCCTCTCATCTCATTTTCTTAATTTTACTTTCCTCCATTTTGTTGTATAGAGGGTTAATCCCTCTCATCTCATTTTCTTAATTTTACTTTCCTCCATTTTGTTGTATAGAGGGTTAATCCCTCTCATCTCATTTTCTTAATTTTACTTTCCTCCATTTTGTTGTATAGAGGGTTAATCCCTCTCATCTCATTTTCTTAATTTTACTTTCCTCCATTTTGTTGTATAGAGGGTTAATCCCTCTCATCTCATTTTCTTAATTTTACTTTCCTCCATTTTGTTGTATAGAGGGTTAATCCCTCTCATCTCATTTTCTTAATTTTACTTTCCTCCATTTTGTTGTATAGAGGGTTAATCCCTCTCATCTCATTTTCTTAATTTTACTTTCCTCCATTTTGTTGTATAGAGGGTTAATCCCTCTCATCTCATTTTCTTAATTTTACTTTCCTCCATTTTGTTGTATAGAGGGTTAATCCCTCTCATCTCATTTTCTTAATTTTACTTTCCTCCATTTTGTTGTATAGAGGGTTAATCCCTCTCATCTCATTTTCTTAGTGTTGATTGATAGCTATGAAAATTTAACACATGAATGAGACACAGTTTTGTGCATTTATTGCCAGACAAAACTAAATAGAACTGAAAAAAGAAAAAAGTAGACGATGAGACAAAAGGAAAATATACAAAAGTACTGTCAGGGGAATAACAAGAACAATCAGAGACAGACTAGACAGGACTAATAAAGACCATACAGGAAGGAAGGAAGTTGAATGAAGTCAAATTAAAAACTTGACTCTTAAATGCAAGAAACATGTATTTTTGCTAGCGAAGCTGGAAATTTCTTAAAAAGAAAATCACAAGTGGAAGAAAAGATAAAGTATTACAACTTCATCCACATAATCATCAACAAATATCAAAATCCAAGAATGCAAAAACCACCCACCAAAAGGAAGGAACAAATAGTCAAATTTAGAAGGTTGTGATATGAACTTACTCAAATAGAAACTTTACATAGTTTATCACATAGCTAGTGAGAGGATGGACAGTTCCATCTAGAACAGCAGTTTTTGTGGCATCTTTTTCTACTGCTTCTTCAAAATCACCGAATGTCTCTTGCGCTGTCTGGGCCAAACGCTTTGTCAAAACAACGGCAGATTCTCGCATTTCCATGCAATATTTACTTTCAAAAATTGATTCCATCTACCAACCAAAGAAGTAAAATAAATTACATAAATAAGATCCAAAACAACAAATACCGTTTCTATTGCATAAACAAGATTGTGCATTTATGCATAAATGTGCTTTTTGTAAAATCCACCAGCTTTATCAATAGAGGAACATCATTTCATCATCCCAATAAAAAAGATACACTAAACAGTACATCAAGGTAAAACTAAGCAAGCCATGACTGATCCAATTTTATTAAACAATCCCTAATAGTACCATAATATATGTAAAAAAGAAATACAAAACTAGCAAGAACACATAAATTGACTAGAAAAGAAACTTCTCACTAATTCAACACGTTTATCTTCAACATAGATTTTTTTTTTTTTTTTTTTTTTTTTTTTTTGCATCAGGTTGAGACCCAAAAAATAATTATGTAATAAACTACTTCATAACTCATTCAATTTAATACCATCTTCTATAATACCAAAAACTATCAAGTACGTTAAGAGAAACTAAATTTCTCATGACAACAAATCTTATACACGGAGTAATCTAACTTAAACAAGATAAGAGGTAAATGCAATGAGTTGATGGGCATATGGCAAATAAAGACCGAAGAGACAACACTAGGATGGTGGAAAACTAAGAAGTATGGACACCAACATAGACATAGACATGGATATGGACTCGGACATGGGACACGGTAATTTTAAAAAAAATGGAGACATGGACACAGTGGGAACACAACAACAAAATCAGTTTTTTACATATTTTTATTTGCTATTAATATTATTGCATCCACAGACAATCAAAATTAACTAAAACTGACACTAATTCTATGTATATATCATTTGTGTTTTTTATGGACGATCTATTTATTATTTAAATTTAAGAAAAAACTAATAAACATTCAATGTCCAACATCCATCAAAAACACTAAAGAAAATGAGAGAGAAAACTACTTAACGTGTCCAATACGTGTCCTTGCCATGTCCCTGTGTTTGTTACAACTACTATTTTGAAGTGTCAGTGCTTCATAGGTGAAAATATAATTAGAACAAAAGATGTGTCCTAAGCAATGATGTGTACAATATGTGCCTTGATGTGTTAATATCCCACAATAGAATTCAACTGCCTTTTGAACTTAAAATGATAAAGAAAGAAAAGCCTAGAGCCGTAGACAATTGAACCTAAACATTCTTTTAGTCTCATATTATTCAAGCTTAGGTATTTAGCCCTATGCCAGCTATTTAAGTTAGTAGCTAAAAAGGCTTTTGCCATTTTCCTTAGGCACAAAGCACTATGAGCAAATATTTTTGTGATCGTTTATACAAGAAATTGTCAGCTTAAGTATATTTTCTCATTCCTCCAATCTTGAGACCAGTTATGTAAAAAGACAAGGCTCCTCAAAACTGGACCTCATGAAAATACAACTTCATAAATGTACTTTATTTTTCTAAAAAATAAAATAATTTCAAGTATTTTACTTCAAATGAGAGAGCTTGCTTTGATTTAATAGAACAATCAATACGTAATAAGATTATTTTATTTATTTATTTTTGGGGATAAGTAGATTATTTTCTTAATATAAATACATAGATATTAGAGTTTTTTTGTATCTACTTTCCAAAATTATATAATAACAAAAGTACTGTCAGAATAAAGTAATGTAAACTTTTAAGATCGATTTGAAATATGAAATATGTCAACCTAAAAGAAAAGTTGTTAAATACTTTTATACATTCTAAACTCAAGTCAACCTCCAACAGAAAAAAAAGAGGAGGTAAAACATATGAAAAACATTTAGTAGAAGAGAAGTAGAATTATGAAATCTGCGTGGGACAATGGCTGGAATTATACTGGATATATATATAGATATATATATATATATATATTTACAGAGAGAGAAAGAGAGGGCAGTTGTTGGAAGTTAATAATATATCCAAACTTCTAGTGATCAAGGATGGGGCTTTGCTAAGTTGAATAAAATTTAAAAGGCAAACTTTAAGCATATCAACAAAGTGATAACTGAAGAAAATAAAGTTGACTTAATAATTGTATTGATCAGGACTAACAGTCCAAAAAAGCAATGTTTAAAAAAAGGGACTTGTGAGCGAACTGAAAAAAGGATCATGTAGATGGGTCACTAGTTCAACCGTCAATTCAAATCGGAATCAAATTGTGACATCATAATTATTTTATAAATATATTAACAATTACTTTATAATAATATAATAATTACAATACATTTGCTAAAATTATTTTTAAATTTTAAGATACATTTATAATTACATAAACATATTTATATTTATTACTTGTAAAATATATAATCTTTGAAAGAATATGTAATAAAGATATATATATAATTCCCAACTATAAACAAAAGTTAAAGGTGGCATAGTGGTTAACTCTTTTTGGCCAATGTTTATCTCATAAATATATTAAAACTTATATTTAAATTTTAATATATATATGTTAATTATTTGTATAAAAAAATTAACTATGCTTGTGAATAAAAGAAAAAGAAAAAGAAAAAAAACATATATATTGTTGGAATTAGGAAAGTTATATTTTGTATATATGGTAGTTTGTATAAAATCTGTGATTGTAAAAATCACAAATTTAGTGCCTTGGATTATTTTATTCCTAGTTTGTAATCTTGATTCATTATATATTCATAGCCTTACCTCATTCAAAGGTAAGTCATTCAATTCAATTCATTCTTTTAGGTATTAGAGCCAACCCTGGTCGCCTCTCTCTCTAATACCCATCACCACCAGCTGCCTCCTTCCTCCTCCCTAGCCATCGACAAACCTCCCCAGCCCCTTTTAGCCACCTGACAGCCTTACCTAGCCCTCGACAGTCCCTATTCTTCATCTTCTCCCCTCGGCCACCTTCTACAGCCCTTGCTGAGGGTTTTCTGGTTGCCGACTAGACTTCTTTTTGGTCCAGAACAGTTCGACAACCCTTCTAGGGTAGTCTGAGCTTGTCTTCTCCCCTCTTGGGGTGTTGTGCTAAGGTGTTGAGTACTTTTTCCTATTTTTTTCTACTTATTGGGCTACCAGATTGATTTGGTAGCACGGATTGGGCTAAACCTTTGTTCTTCTGGCTTCTTGGTTCCTTCTCTATTGCTGTGTGATATCTCGGACCTTTTCCTCACACCATGACTGAGTCACCTCCTGCTTCTCCTGTAGTACCACAAAAACCTGTCCCAATTGGTTTAGATTTTTCTCTTTCTCACCAAACTCCTATTCATCATATTACGAGTATAGTGTTGAATGGGAAAAAATTTGTTGTTTAAAGTAATTCCCTTAAACTCTATTTAGGGGGAAAAGGGAAAGGCTCATTGGCTTTCATCTACCACTACCCAACTTGCTGATACAAAGCTTACACATACCCAGTGGGACATTTAGAATTGCCCAATCTTGGGATGGATGTTTAATTCCATGGAGGACCGAATTTATCACATGTTTTTGTATAGTGACATTGTTTTGAGTTTATGGTGAGCCTTGTCACAGATGTATGCTCATGTTCATAATGATGTGCGTATCTTTGATCTCTACCAGGATATAGCCCGTGCCTCTCAGTCTACTCTAGGTCTTTCCGTGGCTAAGGTTTGTGGGTATCTCCAGGGCCGTCGGGAAGAATTGGCTCAATATGAAACCCTTGATTGAGCTTCCGACTGAGGCTGCGTCTTTTGTGTCCAAGCGACTAGTTCGAGAGCACACTTATTAGTTTATGATGGGTTTAAACTTTGAATTTGAATTTCTTTGAATTCAGATTTTAAATACATCACCCATGAGGCTTTTGCCACCCTTAACAGCGATGAGCATCGTTGGTAGTTGGTTTAGCCGAGTCCTCCTCTAGTTTCTCTAGGTTTATCTAATCAGATGGCTCTTGCTGTAAATTCTGGTTCTCGGGGTTCTCCTGGTTCAGTTACTTGTCATCATTGTTGTAACACTTATGATTTATAAGCTTTTGGGATGCATTTAATTCCCTTATTTTTGTCATTGAATCCCTTAGTTGGTGTATATTAATGTTAGTTAAGTGAGAATTTCGATCCACATTTTGATTTAGACATTTAATTACATTCAAACTTGTTGGAATTACGCTTTAGAACCTTAGAATTTTGTTCTGGGTCTCGACACTTGCTTTTCCTTCCTTGTTTCTCAACATTCTGTTTGGAAGTGTGGACACCTGGAAAGCCTGGGGTCGACACCAGCAACTCTGTTAGTTCTTGTAAAGCATTATGCTTTTTAGTGTCGACACCGTCGGGCTTAGAAGAGACTCTGGTGTAACTGTGAGAATATATATATTGTATATTAGGAATTAGGCAAATTTTCTTTTCTTTGTATTTCCTTTTTTCTGTCATAGATTAGGGCTATATAATTGATACACTCTTTGTAAACTTTACACAATTGAATATACAGTTTCATTCAGAAAACTTACATGGTATCAGAGCCGTGTTTGAAACCCTAGCAACAATCATGCAACCCTTTGGTTTTGATCTTAGTTTGGTTGGTGTATGTCATTGGAGTTCCACCCATCTGTTCTCGTGATCCATCTTGGTTTTGCAAGACTTCAACCCATCTCTAGTTCAGTCTGTGGAAACCCCTAGTTCTCGCTCTGGTTCGAAGCTCTATGGACAAATTTTGCGACCTAGCTGATTCGCAAGTCTTTGACTCGCGACTTCTTCTCACTGCTCTTTGCCTTGCAATTGTCCTTGGTGTATGGTTCTCTGGTTGCTTCGTCGCATCTGTTGGTTGCATCGAAGTGAAGTTACCTCTCAATTTCTCTCTCTCGAAAGGGCTCTGTTTGAGGCTGGTTCGAAACCCCTATCCTTCGGTTGGTCACTTCCTAGTATTTGACCCATTGGATTTTTGCATCTGAAATCCTCTAATATTGGATTATTGTCATATTATTTTCTAATATTACATTTAGACCTCATACTCTTTTGGTTCTTACACTTTAATTTTGGATATATTGGTTTATTACATTGTTGCCCCATTAGCTTTCAGTTTATTATGATG